CGGCGGTGTTCCCTCCAAGCTAAGTGCGAGCCAGCTCACGGTCGCTCAGCTTAGAGGGAACACTGCTCCAGAGCGAGCCAGCTCACAGTCGCTTAGCCTCCAGCGCGGACATGCTGGTCTTAGGTCAGGCAGGAGGGCTCCAGGGCAGTGTGTTCCCTCTAAGCTGACGCAGTGCGAGCCAGCTCACAGTTGCTTAGCCTCCAGCGCGGACATGCTGGTCTTAGGTCAGGCAGGAGGGCTCCAGGGCAGTGTTTCCTCTAAGCTGACTCAGTGCGAGCCAGCTCACGATCTCTTAGCCTCCAGTGCGGACATGCTCTTAGCTCAGGCAGGAGGGCTACAGGGCAGTGTGTTCCCTCTAAGCTGAGTCAAGTGCGAGCCAGCTCACAGTCGCTCAGCTTAGAGGGAACACTGCTCCAGAGCACTGTTTCCTCTAAGCTGAGTCAGTGCGAGCCAGCTCACAGTCGCTTAGCCTCCAGCACGGACATGCTTCTCTTAGGTCAGGCAGGAGGGCTCCAGAGCAGAGCAGTGTTTCCTGTAAGCTGACTCAGTGGGAGCCAGCTCACAGTCGCTTAGCCTCCAGCACGGACATGCTTCTCTTAGGTCAGGCAGGAGGGCTCCAGAGCACTGTTCCCTCTAAGCGCCTGGTGGGGCGGTGTTCCCTCCAAGCTAAGTGCGAGCCAGCTCACAGTTGCTTAGCCTCCAGCTCGGACGTTTTTGCCATAGGTCAGGCAGGAGGGCTCCAGAGCACTGTTCCCTCTAAGCTGAGTCAGTGCGAGCCAGCTCACAAATGTTTAGCCTCCAGCGCGGACATGCTGGTCTTAGCTCAGACAGGAGCGCTCCAGAGCGAACTAATTGATGCAGCAGCCAAAAATCGCCCGCTCACAACTTTAAGGTCAGGAGCTCACAAAGTAGAATTTTTGCTCACAAGACTCTACAGCTTAGAGGGAGCGTTCCTGGGTGGCTGTCTGTACCCCCCTGTATTGGTTGCTGCCAGTGTTCCCTTTAAGCCGAGTTAGTGTGAGCTAGCACACAGTTTTTTGCCTCCGACTCACACATTTCTGTCTCAGCTCAGGAAGGATGGCTCCAGAGTAAACTGATCTATGCAGCAGCGTAAAATCGCCCACTCACAACTTTACAGTCAGGAACTCACAAAGTAGAATTTTTGCTCACAAGACTCCTCAGCTTAGAGGGAGCGTTCCTGGGTGGCTGTTTGTACCCCCCCACCCACACGTATAACACACAGGCACGCAGTCTTGGAAGGGGGCTGGGTTGCAGGGTAGAGCAGAGCTGCTTCTCTTTGGGAGTGCGGCTAGGTTCGAGTCTGGTAGAATCATCAAAGGGACCTCCAGGGTCATCTAGACCAACCTCCTGCACAAGGCAGGAAATTCACAGATACCTCCCCCCAACACACCCCCAGTGACCCCTGCTCCATGACCAGAAGAGGACAAAAAACCCTTCAGGATCCTCAGCCAAACTTGCCTGGAGAAAAACTGTTTCCTGACACCAAAGTGGCGATCAGCATTTCTATGAGCGTGTAAGAAAGGGCTGCAAGAAATAAGTACTAAGAACTAAGCCTTCC